CAAATCCTTCTGCGGCTTTAGCCATACCCAGGAATACACACACCTTATGCTGAAGCCAAGTCTGATTACCACCATGTTCGAAAGAGCTACTACAGTTATTATATTTCACAATCAACGCCAATTTTCTATTTTCACCTTCACTTGCATAAACATTAAATCTTATACCAATGCGATGCCGTCGTCTGAATACAATGAAACTGAAAAATAAATCCTGAATAAACTTTATATTCTACTGGAAACACAAATTACAACAAGGCGAATCCGTGATACAAGAGAGCCAGATTAATATAAAGAATGGCAAGTGCAAAAATATTTCAATTATTTAATATAAAAAACATAAAAGTATTCCATCGGTATCAAAAAGGATCACATCGGCAAAATAACCAACCCTTCACTTTCGTTAGCAGATTTTTCAAATGTTTCATCCCATTCCATCGCATCATCTCTGTTTGGTAGAGAGAGTTCAATGACAGGTGAGTCGCACTATAAGATATAAACTTAAAACAAACATACCAAAATAGAATTTTTCAAATATTGTGAATTATGAATTATGTCGATTACTTATACACCTTATACGTAATATGTCAATAAAATATGTCAATAAAATACACTATAAAAATTTGAGACAGGAAACTGCATCATTTACCTTAACATACGATTTATCTTCACTTGTATATGGAACAATTATAATGCGTGCAAGACTTGCGGAGAAATTGGATACAGTAAGAAAAAGTGGACACCACTGATTGCTAATGAGAGCTGCTTGACGTGACAGACGAATATCCGGTACATGATTTCCAGCCAAAACCTACAGAAACTTACAAAGTTATTAGCAAACAGTTTCACGAAAATTACAATAAAACGGCAACTAATTCCGCACATACTCACTAATAACTACCAACTTTAGAATGAAATATTTGACTTAGTACCTGGATCTTGAATTTAATCGATGTAGGACTATATTCTCCCTTGCATAAACTGTGGTCGCACTGTTTGCAACGTATTGAATGGCGTCCAACAAGAGGAGTTCTAATCGGCAACAGAGGTCGTCCATTGGCAAGAGGTTGTTTTGCTTCTTGCATCAAAGTTGCAATCCTTCCGATGTCTATGAATGATATAAATACAAGTTCAGCATAAAAAAAGAAAAAAAGAAACATTTCAACTTGAACTATCAGGCAGATTTTTTCTAATCAGCACAAGCGGCACTTTCACTGACATTTCCTTAGCAAGTGTTGCATGACCACTATTACTAAAAAAAAAGATTAAATGGTGAGGATTTTTTTTGTGAAATATATAAGGAAAGTTTAAAGTTAAGGATAAAGCAAAATCGTATCTCAAATAGTGTTTTTCATTTAAGAGTAATTTAAACGCTATATGAAATAAACGATAAAAAAATGTAAGAAATATGCAAATATTTCAGCAAATACCTATTTCCTGTTCACTAAAAATATAATCATCTAACGATGGAACATCGTCTGTAGGTTCTAATGTAGGAAGTTTTTTTTCTGTTCGTTCAGCCAACGCTGCCTTTCGGCGGTTGTACATTGTCTGCAGGCCAAAACGATCCGAAAGAACAGTACCAAGATTTGATCGTCTGCAATACGCTACCACCTTTCAAAGTTGTCAGCATTTAAATTGTACAAGAAATAATAATATAAATTAGTGATATAAGAAACAGCAAGAAATAATAATGGTACTTCCTCACCTTTTAGAATATTTGTGTCGTTCACGATCAGCTCTTTCGATAGCAGCGTAATTTCTCATTCTTTCTAGAAATGCAGACAACAGTTGCTCATCCTCAAGCTGATATTGTGGCCAAGTTGTGGATGAAGCGGAGTCCGGTATACCCGAATCAGTCGTCGTCCAACGACACGTATTGCATGACAAGTGATAAGTTTCATTAGATGCCCGTATGACAGCACTCACTCCTACAGTGCTAATAAATATGCTAAGTGACGACAAAGTCTGAACACTGGTTGTAAAAAATATCTAGACTCATTAATTACCGAAGTCTGCGACCAGTATCAAAGTACCCACCACAAACTGGACACTGATAGCAGTTCGAGCACCGATTCCTTTTTTGCCGTGCTTCACCAGTCGATACATTGTCGAGACAAGATGGACAGAATGACGTGTCCATTTCTTGGCATACGCATAATATACACCGTATATTGGAACAGTGTCGACAAAAGTACAAGCGATTCAAACTTTCCCATTCACCGCAACTACACTCATACTTTACCTGATCGATAGAAAACAATGCTGTCATGTTCCCTACTGAAAAAAACATTATTCTGTTTATTGGTTAATAAAATATATTCAACTATTTCCTTTTATCCGAACTGAAATAGACGAAATGGGCTGTAAATGAATGAAAAAAACTTCGTTTGAAATTATATTGAAATCCTCTTCATTAATGATTCCATCGAAGCAGAGAGAAGTGAAGAAAAGCGAAAAGAGGTAGTGTATTAAACAGGCAGGGACCCGCGTACCGCACAGACCTTACTAATCCCCGCAACACCCCTAAACACCACCACACTTCTGCTTCCGAGATATTTTTAAGTGACAGCACTTGTTACATTTTATAACACTATTGTGACGGCCTTTGTTTTCTTCCGACCGTCAACGTTAAATCCAGTTGTTATATGGTTTGAATGCTTGTTGTATGGAATCTTTTGAGGGATTTACGTTCAAGAAGACTAGTCTTGGAAAGTAGTTTTTTTCTCCACTGAACACACTTATCCACACAAAAACATTTCAGTAGAGAAGTGTATTAAGAAAACTGGACCAATATCTGCTCCTGTTAACCATCCTGACAGGTAAGTCCTTCATTTTCGTACCAAAAAATATATCTTTTCACATTTTGTACCATAGATTATTGTCTTTCGCATTTTGAAAAATTCAAAACATCTTAAGTTTACAATTCCAATATCTGAACACTTGTTGCGATATTTTCACAGTCTTTAATTGTACGATAAGTAACAAAATTTGTGATATTTTAAACTTCGATGAGATGAAGCAGCTGACTTATTATAAAGCGAGTATTAATATCTGTTCCGAGACCTCCTCATCCCTTGGAAGAAGCTGTTTGTTTTAAATGTTTTTGCTAAACCTTATGAAAGAAACTTATCTAGGGCCCTTTCTTAATCGTTAGAAGATGATTTGCAAGATTTTAATGCTGTGCAACGACTATCCGTTTACATCATTTAATGGAGAAACTCCATCTGCAAAGCTTTCCGATAACGAAATGTTTATATAAAAGTGGGGTAAGTTGATTAAGTTGTAGTTAAACTTCTTTGTAAAGTATTCAGTCTTCATATTACTTTACAAGAAACTACTTTAATTGATCATTTATTAGGTTTTCATGACCTAAGCCAATCGATTTTCAACAGTCGTTTGGAGAAATTAATAAGTAAGCTTAGTTTTATCTTTTTTACTGCTTCTTTTTTATCTTTTTTTATTTTTATTGCTCGTTTTTCCAAACAACCTGAATTTTCTTTGCTTCTTTTTGAAGCAATCTATAATAAGCGAGTGAGGTAAACTCACAATAGTCTTGTTTCTGATAATTTAGATTTTTTTTCAGGTAACAGCTTACGTGCTTACATCACATTCTGGGATAATCTGCAGAAGGAAATTATAGAACAATTAATTTTTCACAGATGTAATAAAATCAGTTCTCTTGACTTTGTTCGTTTAGTATTTCGGTATTCTGTATCCCAATACTGAGCGTATAAGAGAACATTCAGCAACAGTGATGGAATGGATAACGTTCAACACCAGAAGTATATAACCAGTCTTCCCTATTCATTTTTATTTTCCTTTAATTTCGTAATGTCGAAAATTATAAACTTCCTAATAGCTCACAAAACTGAACCTGATTGACTTCTTATTGAATTTTCCAAAGAAAAATCATCGCAAGATTGTGTTTGTGACTAGTTCTTTTCATATATGCTGTAATTTTTAATTTTTGTATGCACTCGTGCTAAATATGTTATACGTCTTCGTTTGAATATAATATGATGAGTCTGATTTGATATGAATGTGAATAATTTTGCTAAATTAACTGCCTAACTTTGATAAAAGTCTGCATAAACTTATCTTTTGACATCTGCTGTATTTTTGTATCAATTTCATCTTTCCGGAACATATTGTGAAATACAAATGTTTCTGAAATTATTAAAATTATTTTGGCACTAATATAATCTCGTTTTATGTACAAAACAATCGTCACTGTTACGAGATATTATGCCCGTTCTCTTTTTATTTGATTATTTCGGAAAGTCGTCTTTTATGATTTGCTGTTACTTGCTTATCATACTTTTATTTAATTTTACTGATTTTCATAGCTTATATTATCTCATGAGACTTATTAGCTTTTTTCTTAATTTCAAGAAAGAAATCATGTCAAATCGCTCGAATACATCAGAAGACAAAACGACATTTTTTAGTGAAACGTTCATACATCAGAAAGACATTTTTTTAGTGAAAAACGTTTAAGAGGTGTATTCAAAATGAAATTGTCAGTTTAGAATGTTGTAAATTAAAAATTGTTTTTATACAGTAGTTGCTAACATTTCAATAGTTCTTCGATATTAACCATCCCTTATGTTTATTGAAATGATTTTAGGAAATTACTGCAGAATATCACATTGTATTTTACCAACTTTTAGAATAAGACAAAATTTTCCGTATCAGCGCCATCACCAGCTTAATGTAGTGATGTGTTCTGATTTTTATTCGAGTTATATTTTGGTTGCGATTTCGAAAACAGGGAATTTTCTACAGAATCCTTTTACCATTGTAATTTAGCAGTTCTAAAGATATATTTCACACCATTCTTTTATTAAAGTTTTTAAAACTTAGGTTCTGTGTTTTGGAATAAGTAATTAAAAAAGATTCTTGAGATTGTTGGGCAAAGTTTTGTCGTAGTGGAAAAAAATTGTTGGTTTGAGTGGAAAATTTATTCCTATTTAAAGATTTGTTGATATTAAAGAGTGGAAATGGAATTAAGTGAATCGACAAAGAAAGCACTAAAGGCTATTCCACTGATGAGGACGAAAGCAGGACCGCGGGATGGTGATTCATGGGTTCAGGTTCTATACCATTTTTTCATATTTCCTCTTACTCATTTTTTCAAAGTTTAATTTAGGTTAATATTCGGTATTTTGTAGTCAATGGAATTCTTTGTGTGACTGCTAACTGAAAAATTATGATTGTTGATAAATGAAATTGTTTGTAAACAAATAACAATTATAAATAATATCTTAATGAGGTAAGGCAAGACTTGTATTTTCAGAGGTTAAAGGAAGAATACGAAGCTCTGATAGCTTTTATCAATAACAACAAGGCTGCAGATTTGGATTGGTTTCGTTTAGAAAGTAATGGCGATGGAACAAGATGGTTCGGTAAATGCTGGCATTATCATAATATGCTCAGGTATTTAATTCGTCAGTCATATAGTACTCCGTTAGGAATTATTCTTCATCGCCTTTTGTGTTTTAGTTTTATGATATGCAAATAAGGTTTTATTACTCCTACCATTTCCCAAAATATGAATATTTGAGATAGGTCTTTTTCATTACAGATATGAATTCGATGTTGAATTTGACATTCCCGTAACTTATCCTACTACTGCACCGGAAATTGCATTGCCCGAACTGGACGGCAAAACTGCAAAAATGTACAGGTATTAGTATTCTAAGTACTTGTTTTCCTTGCTCTCATTTTGAGTTGCTCGTACTATTATTCTTTCAATGTGTTTTATCTGAAAGATATGATTCTGAGAGCGATAAGCATTGAAACTAAAATTCGTGTATTTTATTTCCGTTTACCTTTTTTTCGTCATTATTTTAAAAATGGTTCAACTATGAGATAGATGTTTTGCTGTAATAATATAACAACATTAAAATGAACCTTAGTTTCAGATTGATTCAAATATGAGTAGTGACTATTTTTCATACACAACTATTAACTTATAGATCATTTCATGAGTCATAAATGCTTTAAAAAACTACGATAGCTTGATTCAATGCAAAAGTTAATGATTTTTATTCATTTTTAACTTCACGGTACTTTAGAGGAGGACGGATTTGTCTATCGGATCACTTCAAACCTTTGTGGGCTCGCAATGTACCGAAATTCGGAATTGCACAAGCGTTTTCATTAGGACTGGGACCCTGGTTAGCAGTGGAAGTTCCAGATCTGGTTGATCGTGGCATGATACAGCCAAAAACTGCGTAAGGTGTCATTATCAAAACGTAATATTTGTGTCTGATTTTTGATTATATTCAAATTTTTTTGTTTTTACAAGTGGATCAGACCATATCGACTGGATCTTTGGAGTATTGTTTTCAAGAGATCTTTGTTTATTTACTTTTTTTATTTTCCTTCCTTTCTGTGGGAGAGTACGGAATTTCTTCTTTACACATGTTTTTATTTAATTCTGCATAAATTTCTGCGAAAATTTAGTTCTGCACAAATTTTGCTGTTTCCTCATCGCTTCACTGTACCACTGTACTCATTATTCTGAGCGTTATTGATTAATCAGTGATCATTAATTTCATTTATTTAAAAAAATTTTGGTGTCTTTAGTTTTGTGGTCTTATTATTTTCAAACATAATGTTGATTTTTTATCGGTTGTCATTATGTCACTACCACATTATGTTCTTGTTCCATAATATAAATGTTTATAAATTTGTTCTCATTGCCAACACACAGTATGCTATGTGGGGAACTCATCTATCGCCATAATTCTTCCAGCGAGTTTCACAGGATGATTAGATCTGATAACGGAATAATTCTACACAGCAGGTGGAGGAATCTTGCTAAACCACACTAATATTTTTGAATAAAAAGTGCCAAGCGGACTGAGTGGTTGACTTTTCTTTTGCTTTCTGGAATAAAAAACATAAATTTCAACATGATGCCAAAGGAGAAGGCATGAGTATATATGTTAAATGCTGTTACGAAATGCAAGTGGATCTGTCATTATTATCATGGCCACATTATTTATTGACTTGGCTATATTTGAACTTCTGGAAGTGGCTATAATATTAGTCACTAGCCCATTTAATTCTATCCCGTATTTACATTTATACTGTCAAACGTTTAAAGTAAAAATCTCACTCACAAGCAACTACGACCTCCTGATTCATAAGGAAAAAGAAAGTTTCGCATGCTCATTCCTTGAATTTTCCTTTCGTAACTAAGTAAAATGATATCAGCAAATTTTTCTAATTAACATTGTTCCATCAGTATGGTAAACTCGTAAAATTGCTATACATAGAATATGCAAATTATTTTGGGTATGCCATCCCCGTATGCAAATTATTTTATCTTGTTTCGAATTAATTTATTTAGTGAAGAAAGTTGAGTTTTCTCACAGAATGGTTTGTAAGCATCGTCAAAATTTGCTGTATTAATTGCAAACAATTTGCAGAAGATTGAGCAGAACTTCAGCAATGCAATCAACCATAGCAATTAAATGGGTAACTTTTCTCTTCTTTTATAAAATACTATGAGAGAAGCAGTTTTCTTTTTTTCAGAAAAAATGACTAATTACTAATTAAAACTAAATCATCAGCATGGTAGTGAACGGACTAAACTGATATTCTAACAGCGTAAATTTTGAGTTCTGATGTTGCTGACAGTATTACAGCATATTTACAAGTCTCATTTAATCCTGTTTTCTTTTTCACATTTATTTTATAAGATTAGTGCTCTCAGTTGTCGTTGAAATTTAGATTTGTAACATTGGCAGTGGTGGAGTAACATTGTTAACAAAAGCGATACTCAAGAAACATTCTTATAGCTCACAATCAGTTAAAGGTTTCAACTGTAAGTTGATCAACTAAGACTAAATGGGCCTTGTAATTATTAAATGTCTTTTCATATCCTGAATTAAAATTAGTTATACTAGAAATGTATCTGATTGCTTCGGAACACATTGCTTGATTTAGATTTGTTTTTTCAAACATGTCGTCTTGCTCATAGCTGTATACGTTTTCCTGATATCAACAATCGACGCATTATTACCGATCCAACTAAAGCTGCTAGCTCAACAGAAGATAAGCGACGTTTAATACGACAAGGGGTCATTTATGGAAGTGAGTAACTGGACGGAAATTTCCGACAAAATTTTTTTATTTTCAGATTTATCCATCATTGCTTTCATCTTTTTTCTCAAATTTACAGTTGGTGGTGCTATTTATCTGATGATGGCTACGAAACTTGTCCAGACTGCTGTTCATTTCAAAAATATGCCTTCTGATCAAGTTGCTCTTGGCACAACACGAATTAATCTGGATGAGATACATGAAGGACAGGTTGATGTAGTTTCTTGGGAAATTTCTGAGGAAGAAATTATAACAGATCAATGGATAGCGATCCAATACATAAATTATGGCAATTTGTATGTAATTTTTAGTGTGCAAATATATGCAGCCATCAAGTTCAAAAAACTTTACTTTTTGTAAACATAGCGAGAAGGTTGTGGAATTATGAAGAAATAGTAAATGTGCATGTGATTCAGTGATTTTCAGTGTAAAACGTTCAAATGGCGTGGCAAACCATTATTTGTGAAGCATCGTACAAAGGCGGAAATTGAGGAAGCTCGAAATGTGAAACTATGTGAACTGAGGGATCCGGAAGAAGACTCAGCTCGTGTAAAACGTCCGGAATGGCTTATCTTGATTGCAGTATGCCCACATCTGGGATGTGTCCCTTTACGTATGTGATTCTCTCATTTATTTGTCGTAGACATCTATTACCTACTATGGGTTTCTAATTTAAATTTTTTCTTAAATTCACCTTTACTGAAAATATCCGGACTTTTCAAGCAATAGAAGAAAGCAGAATGTCAAAATATTTACAATAAGTGGATTAAATATGCTGATTTGAGAGATGGACCATAAACTTATTGCAAGAAATTTATATTTTTGATAACTTATTCAAGTGATCACACTACAGATCATCGTGTGCTATGCTGAATACACGCAACTCTTACAGTAATTCCTAAAATATCTTCAAAATTTGCAGCATTCATTTTTGCATGTTTTCAGATGGAAAAGGTGAATACGATGCGTGGTTATGTCCTTGTCACAGCTCATTATTCGATAAGTCAGGTCGTATACGATCGGGACCATCACCGAGTAATCTCGAAGTACCACCGTACAAATTTTACGACGACCATACTGTAGTGATTGGTGAAGAGTGATTGATGAAACTTTTCTGGTTTTTGAATAACAATATAAAATATTAAAAAATAGTATCAGAGCTGAAAAGTAAAAGACTTATTATTTTATTTCGGAGGATTTTTTTACTATAGTATTATGCCATAAGTTTGAAATTCAAACGACATTAGCATGTGACAAAACAATATTTGCTTATGACAAAATGTTTTCAGATACTAATCGCAATCTAGAAACTTATCTAGAAATATTTAAGAATTTTAAATTTATTTTTAGCTCTTTTTTAGTTTTATTTTTGCGTAACATTTTTGGTTTCGTTTTGTTTTTTAAAATTAGCTTCCCATCTTTCATTAATAATTTGATCTCGCTGTTTTATTTGCTTATAAGTTGGTTTTTCAGCATTTCATAAATAATATACTTTATCCATATATCTCGGGATTTGTAACTTACGTTTCAAATACAATGTCAAGATAATCAAATTAAAACACTTTATAAGAGATGAAATAAACTGTAGAAATAAAATTGTGATGAAAGTCGAACGTGAGAATATGTTTATTAATTTGCAACTCAATATTTTCTATCTAGAAGAAGGCTATTATCGATTTCGTTGTTTTAAAATCGAGGCATAGCCCGAACTTCGGCAAGTGTTCGATCGATTTTCTCCAAAAAACGATCTTTTGGGCGTGATGTTATCTGGACGAAATTCGAACCAACAATACGTGAGTCATGACTACGAACATACGGATGGTCCGCGTACATGTATGGAGTCAAAGGGGTACTGAAATTGAATATGAATGGACTGAGTCTTCATGATTATTTGCGTCACTACATGTTCTCTACTGTTGGTAGATTAGATCTTATTAATATTTTGTTAAAAACAAATGTGCATACAATATAGGTTCTACTGATCATTTAGCATAAATTAAGGGTTTTAAAAGATTACCTATCGGATCCTTTATAATCAATAATCATCTGCTTGTTGTTCCGTTTCCAGTCTTCATCGGCTTTTTCCCGGTAAGATGTATAAGTGTCCTAAATATGAATTTTATTTTATTGATTTTTTCCGTATCTATACGATTAATATTACAATGTTTGTAGTTCTCATTATCTAACCGTAGTAATACTATCCTCTAACCAGTGTATCAGAAGGTTAGTAATATTTTTAATACTTTCCTTAAATATTTTTCATATCCATTCACTTGCTAAATAAAAAATTAGATAGACTAAATATGAAAGATATAATGAGTATTCTTAAAACATTTAGATTTAATTAGAATTTTCGAATTTTTGTTGAATTGATCTGCAGGCACTTTTCTTGAGCAATTTATCGCTCCTGTACTTCGCATTGTTTCGCTCCTCCCCAGCAATATAGTGGTAAGGAGAGGAAGGTTCAAGGTATTTGAATTACTTAGCTTTTGACCTTTCTAGAAGATGTAATGGATATAGGAGCACGGAATCTTCAAAGATAGGTTATTGATTACTAAGTGCTATTATCATTCCAGATGGATGTTAATATGTTAAGCCATAAATTACAGAAAACAATTTCATGGGTAGAATTTCCCTTTCCCAAAAACACCTTCTTCACATACACTGCAGTATTAGCTGTTCTTTGCATCAGCGACGAAGAGCTGTATGATTTGTTATGAGAGAAACAGTATCACACCTTATTTTGGGAAGGTGATAATAGAGTTGAGTTGCAAGTCGAGTTGCGGCTGCTTGTCGGATAATAGGAGGTGTAGGATGATGAGTAATCCTCACCACCCGTTAAGCCATATTCACAGAACATGTTCTCCAGCGGTATTCTCATGATGTTTTCATCAACTTCAAAAAATGTTAATATTGAAATCCCTTCTAAAATTTTCATTTTTCAAGATTATTAAAAGACAGAATGGAACAGATTGGACAGAATGAAATGAATAAAAAGGAAAATAAAGTTGAATCAAATGTCGAACTAAAACTCACAGGATTCATTCAAGGCAGCAGAACCAAGTAAATCGTGAACTCGCAACATATTGTGATTACTTATCAAATTACCCGAAGTAGCGAAGAGTTTTGGTATTTTATTGCCAGGGCGGAATATATTATGTACATACTTTTCAAAACTCATCGCCATTGGTCCATCAGGGAAAATTCTACTCTCATACTTATTCTCTAAACTTGGTGTTGTATTTGAGATTAACTTCGCCTTATCATTGTCATTTCCTCCACTTAGGCTAACTCCAAAGGCGGTTCTGTCCCCATGGCTATGATCATAGGTTCGCATAGTATAACTGCTTTTGCCACTTTCGTTATTGTCTCTGCTCATGTATTCTGACATATTTTTCTCTATCTCTATAAGACAAAATCTTCAGCGGTCACAGATTGTCTAGAAATAATTCAAAGCAACGTGAGTAAAATTAACAATTTTGAATTCAATAAAAATATGACAAATTCTTACAAGTATAAGAAAATACTATGCTAAATAGATTTTTTGACTTTGAATTAAGTTTGTGTCATTACTACAGGGATATTAATCGAATTGATAAATCCGCATTGACATATATTGTTTCAATTCCTTCACTTTTAATTTTTTTTAACATTGAAAATACATAATATCTGAAATGCAATAATCGAAAAATTTTTCGACACTCAATTTTTTTTCTAGTTCGACAAACACAGTAGCGCATGACAGGACAAATAATTACTTTCAGTAGGATTTAGTTAACGAGCAAGAATTTCATGCATTTTCACGATCTCTTTCTTTTCGTGACGAGTTACCGGGAACTTTATGGATAGCTTCTGGGGCATTTTTATCACAGTTTGTTTGAAATGCACGCCAAACTAACGTTACGTTCATTATCTTTGCCTACGTAACTTCGCAAAAAAAGTGGAAGAGTATTCGCAAAGCAAAAGAGAGATGGAATAAAGCTAACTTCATATAGTACTGAAACAAGCAAGCTTTGAAAATATCGCTGTGATTAAGTCTTAAAATGAATTTTCTAAGAAAAACAAAAATAAAGCCTGAATTTGCTATTCAACGATTTTAAAAATCCACAAATGTAAGAATTCCTACAGCTTATCACCACCCTTCTAATGTATATACCCATGAAATGCACAGTGAATTGTGTCGGTTCGTTATATATAAATCAGTCACTCCTTGTGCATTTTAATAATTTCCGGTAGATGGTAGAACATCGATTGGATAAGTAACTGAAAATAATGTAAATCAAACTGATAAGCATCGCAATACAATGATGAAGTTCAAAAACAAGAAGTTTTATCCTTCTCCTCTTCCTAGCTTACTTCTTGCTACGGAACAGTTGCCATTAGTCTCTTGTCCTAACTGTTGAAAAGCGTTATATCTACTTAGACTCTATCTCCTATTTATTGAATACTTTGTAATGCATATCACACACACACACACACACACACACACACACACACATACATACATACATACATACATACATACATACATACACACATGGTTAAGAGGAAGTTTCAGGAATATCACCGTGCAGTACAGAAAATATTGGGATTCCTTTTCTTTTCAGCACTTAGTTATTTTCTAAACGTTTTAAACTTGCACCTCAAAACAATTGAATTATTCATAGCAATTCCCTATTCAACCAAAAAATATCACAAAGTTGTTGAAAAAATTAATTTCAAAAAATCAGACATCTTCATATGACTAGCACAACTTTATAATTCAGCAGATCTTGAGCGTTTTTGTGAATGATCACTACCACCTCGCAATGCCTTCCGTTGTAAATGATTCTGAAATAAGTTCAATAAGCCCAAGAATTTGGAAGTAATACATCATATAGAAGAAATTACATTGTATGACATGAAAGCGGGTAAATTACAGATAATTTGGCGGAAATAACCTTTCTTGTAGCTTCGCATCTTTCCAGTTTACAACGATATAAAAATTCAGCAAAAGCAGTTGCCATCGATAGTATCATGCCACCACAGAGAATATAAAATATTCCGGCAACTTTACTAAGAGTTAAACTGGCACTATTACCTCCTTCCTGGAATAGCATTAATGAAATTTGAGGAAAATCGGTAGCTGAAGATCTGAACAAAGGAAAGATAGCAGTAGCAATAAAATGTCCTGAAATTACTTCCACCAATTTTTGAACCTCAAAACAATTCCACTGAAATTACTCTATTATTATCGTTATAACTAGCTTGAATGACTTTATGTCTTAATGTAAAATGATAAGGCTTAAGGTATTTTTTGATCAAAGTACCGAAAAGCATATGTTAAGAGAGAAGAAATAGAAAGGCGGAATATATTCAGTTCATCATACAGCTGCATTCTATGCATATCAAATTCTAAATGTGAAATATGATCTAAGAGTATAAGTTGGTTCTTCTCATTTATCCTACTCAATACTAGTATTATCATCACTATTTCTCAAAAAAAAAAACATAATAATGGTGACCGGAGACATTGACATTCCTTGATCGCACTGTCCTCGATCATACCACCATTTATTTTCCAGTCGTTTCAGCTCACCCTTCTCATGTAAGTATAATATCGCAAAATTAATACTTTCTCTGTAAAAGCTTCACTAATCATGAAATTCAACGAATTCATCTTGAATAAATACTGAATATTCTAGTAATTATCGAAGTTAATGTTTAGCGTTAAAATATTTCAGAAAATCATGTTAGTATTAATATCTCGTTAAGATGAACACTGCACAAAAAAAAAAAAAAAAATTCTCCTATTTATGATATCGTTAAAAGCAACAATACTTCGAAATGTATAAAATGTTATTAAAACTATTGAACAATACTTCGAAACCTCCAAGCATCATTTAACGATTTTACCAGATGAGAAAGCAAGAAAAGCTACCTCAGCGGGTTACCAATTTTGGTGGCAACTCCATATCCCAAAGAATTCAAATTAGCACCAACTTTCATGGTATCGCATGGTTTCCGAGTATTTTCGTATTCATTGGCTGTTTCTTCCAAAAGAAATGCATATTGTCCCTGAATGGTTAATAAAAATAGTTACAGAAAAGTTGGATGAGTTAGCAGTTTTCTTAATAAATGGGTTCCTAGAATTTATACGGTGAATTCAATCATCAGTTCTGCATCAGATGACCAGCAATATGCTCCGTGCTTTCTAACTTCTTTCTATGCTGGTAAGCGTAACTGAAGAATGTATGTTGCTTGAAAATAACATGTAAAAGTATAAAAGAAACCATCTATAAAGAAAAGACTTAAGAAATTCGAGAAGAACCTTGCTACGGCGCACTTTTTCAATCCCTTCAGCATAAGTATTTGCCATTACAGTGTCTGAAGTATTAGGATGTTGTTGTGCACGAAGCTGCTGAGTATACGTATCATACATGAAACTCCACATTTTTTTATAAACGGGTACTGCTGATTCCTGAAATACATACTTGATGAAAACGGTGAGTTTGAAACGGAAGATGATAATTCAGATAGATTGAGGTCGATCTTTTCCAGTCATATTTCAAAATATTAACAAAGAAGAAGCAGAAAACATCGTAGTGAAAATGTGATCAATCTTAGTACTGTCATAATGAATGCTACTTTCAATAAATTGAAAACTTTTTATACCTTGAAAAACTCTTCTGTTGAACCACCTTTAACAATTCCATAAAGGATTCTCTTCTGAGCAGCCAGATCATCGACCGATTCAATTGGTGGAGTCATTTTCTCTAGGGTAAGGAATGCCGCTAAATTTGCAGTGTATGAGGAAACAATGATAAGCGTAAAGAACCACCATGCACTACTAGCGATCCGTCCGGATGGTGCTCTGCAGCATATTTAAGCAAAAGTTCATTAGTGATATTTTAATTTAACATTTTTTACTGGAAGTATTTATGCACTTCTATTTTTAATGATAAAAGAGCTCTGTATGACCATTACTTTGGTAGATATATCATAACACAGTAAAAAAAGAAAAAAGAAAGAAAAAATTACAAATTAAATCAAACTTCATTAAGCTTGATATAATCATCTAGACGTACTAATTATATGACAAAAGTTTCCAGTTTTTTAAGAATCTAAAATTTTGCAGATGGATGGACAATTCTAAATTTTCAAACAATTACATTTCGGTTCATGATTTCTTGAGAAACTTCAATAACTTTTTTTTTTCGATTTGATTGAATTTTCTAGTTAGAACAAATGAGTAAATAATGCAATAGAGATGAAGTAAAATTTACATGAGAAGTAAAACATAATAATTGAAGTTATGAGATTACGAATTGTAATAATAATGTACTAACAGTTATTAATTATAAATGCTTTTGCATTTTATAATTAATAACTGAGGCAGACTTACCTGGGTAATATATCAGTACCTTGCTGCATAAACGATGATAATGTGAACCATAAACTATTGTACAAAGAGAGCTGCGTTGGCAATTCTGCTTCCGTACGCGTTTCATAAGGACTGAAGGAGCTCACTAGAAATATAGTAAGTGATACCTGAAATGTTAGTCATCATCATGAAATGGCACTTTGGATTAAAACATGGAATAAGATATGAGAAAACTTTAGAATTCATTAACACTTAAATTAAAGGTACTTGAAGCTAAGGATGATTAAGACAGTTGTGAATCTAATTATGTTACCTAAATCAATCTACATATTTGTTCTTATTTGAAGTAATGACTGAAATTAATTTCATTGTTACCAACACTTCCAATCCATTTTATTGGCTAAGTTAATTAATTAATTTAAGCAAAAATATGATAATTTTGGTATTTTTCGGAATAACTAGCTTACTTTCTTGACACTGTCAAATTCAAACTGGCACTCAACATAGTCTGACACGACTTTTTTATTTACCCTCTAGGATTCTATCATGCTTCAGAAATTCCCTGTCGTAACTACGAAATAAGCTATCAGAAATTCATGTTTTAAATCAGAAAAATTAATTTGAAATAAATAACAAAATAACTTACTCCAGCATATGAACACAGTATGAGGAACCAAATATTTGTTCCTAGAGGTTGCATGAATGAGAAAACATTGAATTCCTGTTTTTCCGGTTTCTTAATCATGATACTGATTCCAGTGGTCATAAATGGTTTTGAGAAGTCAACGACGCGCTCGCGAGCTTGGTTGATGGTGAGTGGTGCTACGGCAACATCCGCTGTCTGCATATCTGTTGACATTGCTTATTTCTTACAAGGATTTTCCTGAGAACCATCATATCACCTATTATCAAGCTATGGATCCTGTCATTTCATTAGCTCAACTGTTTAGCATTGTTCATACAGTATTTGTAGTTCGGTCATTTCAGCTTTTGTAGTGATTTTAATCTACTTAACCTAATTTGTTAAGTAAGAGTGTTGCTTTAATTGTTAAGTTAATTGGAAATGAGGAAGAGCTTAATGGCCAATCTCTTCTTGTGTACTCTGGTAGGAAATAAATATATTAGTCCTCGATAGTGGAGGGAAAAAAGGATGAATAAACGGAAAAAGCCTGTCAAAATTTTTTCGAGAACCATATGTTTAGTCAAATTGATTATTTCTTCGAATTTCTTTCATTTTACCCACTCAATATTTCCCGCAGTAATCTCACCTGCGTCTTCTAGCAACTTCATAGCACTGCTTTTAATTTTACATTACGCGGATGAAAAACTGCAGATATGTATTCACTAATGGACATTATCCATCAGGAAAGAGAAAAGGCGATATATTAGTTCAAGAAACCTACTTTTTCCTCAAGTATACTTGAGGGTAAATCTCTCAGATTAATTGGAGATGAAACCACATTATTTGATGATAAAATGGATGTAATTGTAAATAATTTAAAAAAACATCATAATAAGCTGAGGGGAACTTTACTACTCAGGAAAGCTACAAATTGGAAATCCGATTTCGTCAAGGTCAGAATCAAACTCTAGTTTCTCGTTTCTTTTCAATAAATCTGACGATATCAGTAAATGAGTAAATCGCTAAAATTCCCTTCAATAATAAATTTTCCACTAGAATCAGCTCAAAAGAAATCAAAACGACTGAATAAGTTTCTCTAGTCTTCTTAATAACATGCCTCATTTAGCAAATATCCGATCATTCCATCCCAAGAACCGTCATCTTGACGTTGACCATATTTATTTCCTTCAGCAATGAATATTTCATAAGAATCAAAACCGCTGATATTCATTGCTAACAATTTAATCAAATCAATACAGTATCCTTCGAAACGGTCATTACCAACATGTGCAGGTTCTCCAGGAACCGTTCGCTTTAGCATCACGAACGGTTTCACCTGCAGTATCGTATTTAGTTAATTCTGAGCTTTTCAAAAATGAAATATTATCGTATTGATTGACCTCCATAAAATAACGCTTGTTCTAGAAATGCATTACATTTTTTAATAAGAATGCAATATGTTACGATTGGCTGAAATTTTTAAGATTTGAACTAAGCGATAAAATCAAGCCCGTTAGAAATAACAAAATTCAGTGTTATAGAAAAACTGCCGGTTTCATTTTGAATCAACATACCAGGACCGTTACAATATGTAGTCTATTAGACCGGTGGTGTAAGCGAGTGATAGCTTCTTCCCTTAGCAAATTTGGCTTACTTTCTGCATTCATTATGAATCCTACACCTTGTCTCCAGTCATACATCTAAAATGTGGTAATTTTTACAAGGAATAATTTTCTTTTTAAATTTTCAAAATTCAAATTCTAGTCGAAAAGTTTAGTACAAAATGTTTTCAGACAGCTTTTGTTATTCATTCATCTTAGATCAAAATTTATATCTGCAATAAACTGTTGATAAGGATTGATTACATTTCGAACGCTATATAAGCTCCTTCCGCTTGGATTGATTTCAACTATTTTCGCTGAGAAGTTTGTTCTACTTAACGACTTAGTGAATTGTATTGGACCGGTAAGTGTCCCATCTGTTTCGTCTAATTTTACCTGTAATTCGAACAGTTGAGCGTTATTCCGACCGAACATTTGCTTATCAAATTAAAATCCATTTACTAAGTTTATATTTCGGTAAGTAATGATAGAGTCTTTTTCTCAGTAGTCCAAAAATTCATATCTTATTTTTGCATTATGATTGCAGTGGTAACGGTTCAATTTTTTGAATTTAAAATTTCACATAGATATCTCCAGAGGATTGCTTAAGGAAGCAATTCTCGATCTGCCTCAGCCAAAAATTGGGAAAGCTATTATATATTGTTGGGAAATATTCTATTTTCAATTTCGAAACTTTCGGATAAATTATATATTGTCTGATCAAGTTTTAAATGAATTTTAAAGTAATAATTAGAAAAAACATCATTTCAAAATGACATAGTCCGTTTATTTTTCTTAAAAAAATTCTGTCAATAAAATTTAGGGGTCAAGGAGTATTCTTAGATAACCTAAACTCCTCTGCTGTTGTCGAAATTGAGAAAGTTCCACAAGTCTACAAGGAAAGGATGAAAATTTAAATGTGCATTTGGAAGTTCAATGTAAACTACTTGAACAATAGTTTCCTCCTTCTCCCTCATTTATAAAAAAAAGTAAATTTTTTTTTTGAATTTTTTCGAATTTTTTTTCCAGAATTTCTTTCTAAATTTTGGAATTTTCTTATTTTAATAAACAAGTTATCTGAGCACAAGGCTGTTCTCGGAATTGGCATAATTATGAAGTTGTTTTTGAATTCATGACAGAATATAGATTCCCCGATATGAAATTGTACCTCTCTAATGGCTTCAATAATTTTATCACCGAATTCGAATGGCATCGAATGTGAGGTGGCATGCTGCAGATCACGTCTGCACTGTATTCCTGGCTGACCAGCATTATACAGTTGGTTTTGATTGAATGCATTAGCAAACAAGTCACGGCCGTATTTTTTCAAAACAATGTCAATCGCATTACTTGCCACAAGTAATGCATCGTGTGCAAACATTGCACTCATCTGCAAGTACCACAACCTACGCTTAACAATACTTCGACTTATTAAACTCCACGTTCTCTTAAAATTTTATTGCAATTTATCTTAACTTGCCCAACAATTACTCAGATAAGAAATAAAAGCAGTTAAAGATTATTTACTTAATTCAACTTTATAAATCAACCAAGACTGAATTTCTTTTAATCATATAGTAAGTAAATGAGGGCAGATAAATTGACAAACTTACTGGTATTGACACGTCATCCATGACGGAACGATTGCCGTAGTGATGCACGAACATTTTTCTTTCTTTGCTAAAATAGGAGCGCAATTATTCTAAATGAAATCAAAGTCTACAACAGCTTAATGCTTATTTCATGTATTAAGGAAATATTTCATAACGAGGTTTTAAACTTTCTTATGTTATTTCTTATTACAACTGACAAATCGGCAAGGAAACTTAAGATAAACTCTATTATCATCATTTTTCTCGTGATATTCAAACTGCAAATATAATAATTGATGGATTTTTAAATTTAAGGTAGGTCTCACTGAGTTTCTATTTATTGCTACTGTTGTATAATTTTTTTTTTTTATAAGATTAACTTAACACTAGTTTAAAGTGATGCTGAAACTTTTATGAAACTTACTTTAAACGTTGATTATATCTGTCACACATTAAAAAAGCTGTAATATTGATAAGAGTATAATGGAAAGCATCCAGATCATTTTCATCCAGTTCCTGTTAAAATTTGTAGACTTAAGATTTATTTCTCTGAAACGAAGTAGTAGAACATTCAGATCTATCTAAATTTATTGTACTTACGAAGTTAGCAAACACATAATTATATTGTTTTTTGACAAGTATGCTTTCTTTTAGTGACTGCAAAAATGCTCGGATACGATAACTATTCGAAATATCCACCACAACATTTAAGGATCTGAAATAATTAAACAGAGTCGGCAGTGATGTTAATTTTGTTTCCATCTCATGCTATGAATTGAACATTATCTAATCTTTCCAGATGGATCAATATCAAACAAACTTTCCACTTTCTTTCTTTTATACCAAGCGCTTTTTTAAGGAATACAGTACGAAAGAACTGTTGAAAATTATGCACAGCCATATCAATGTCTTGCTTTTAATAATTTCATATGTGCTACGACTTGAAATTTTTGGTTCATACCTTGAATCAAGGAAGTTAAAATTTTGCATATGAAAATTATTGAGAAATTCTCGAAAGTACTCTTCATCTTCAGGAATGCGATAGCTATTGATCTGTAGCGTATAGATAGGATTATTTTTTTCCAAATATTTATATATTGCGGTAAGGCTTCGTTCTGCTGAAACGACTATTCATTTACAATTCAAACAATACTTCCGTTTCTAAATTTCAGAAAGTGAAGATGCGATTCAAATTTAAAGCACTGTATTCCAAAGTGGGGTAAAAACTAAGTCACTCATCTCCAGGAATACAGTAAGTCAGAATACAGTACTTCAGGGATACAGTGGTTTGAATTTAAATTTAAATTCACACTTAAATAAGTTAACTATAGTTTACCATTAGCACCATCGTGTAAATAGATAATTTCATGCCACTGTTTAATTTTGATGTAATCCACTAATAGTTCATCAGCAGGAGGCCTTACGGATGCTGTAAAAGCCGGAGACGAGTCAGAGCTCAAATCGGAAGTTTCCCAGTCAATCAACGGTATCTGAATAAAAGTAAATTTTTAACAGGTGGGAAATAATGAGCCCAGGATATCAAACCACACTCTTATTTCAGCAAATGTTATGTATTAGAATGTTAGTATGCACTTGGTAAAGTAATTTAAATGGGATATCTGAAGTAGTAACAACTGGAAATGCTTAATTTAAATTTGATAGGAACCAACTTTGACTCGTTTCGCCAATGAACTGTAAAGACCAAATGATACGGGCGAACTACCCGCTAACATGATCATAAAGCCAATCTTAAGTTCATCGCATACTAAAATTAGAAGAGTAAAGTACTACATAATATTGGCAAAAAATCTTTAAAGAAATGAATTGCAATCTGAGTGTTTTCAAGTTATTTGTAAAATATAACCATAAAGAATGCATGATGAGCAATTAAAGGACAAACAGAAACAAGAAACCAAAATCGGCTAAGTGCCAAAGAAGCGTTGTGGAATGCATCGCCGGTAGGTAACGTACACCAAGCGCCACATCTATTGTATTTTTTTCCTCCATATTAAACCAAAATTCGGCCAGTCGAAGCATTTCTTGAATTATCGCTGCAGTTGTGTTGTCCAACTCACTGGTGTTTATAAAGGCACCTCAAGTTTTTTAAAAATTTTAATGTTTTCCCAGAAATGTTGCAATTTGAAGCTGATAAACCTGTCTGTTCAATTCGAAGGATAATTTGTAGGTAAAAGTTGTCATTAAAGATAACTCTTCGATCATTTTTCTTAATAAGTATCGGTAATAGAAATTTAAAAAAAAAGTTTACGAGCACTACTTTAGGCTTTTGCTATTTTAACCGACTCGCTCTTCGACAATTTTTAATGAACTCTATTATGAATCACAATATAATGAATGTAATATTATCAGAAAGAATTTTAATAGGTTTCAAATAATGGTCTGAAACTTACGTAGCGGCACCTTTCGAACTAAAGAATAAGTCTGCTGTAGACAAAAAATAAGAAATATGGATAGAATACTTTTTTTACATATAAAGATCATTGGAATTTTGTGAGATGTAATTTCGAAAACCAGAGCAAATTACAAATGGGAGGCAAGCAGCTGAAAAACAAGAAGCAAGCTCACTTCACCGTGAAATGATTCTTCCAGCTCACTTCACCATAAAATTAAACTCTTAAAGAATATAGAGAAGCCAAATGAAGTCTTCCGATATTCACTGTGCTCAGCAAAATTTACTGCGTTTAAAAAAGTGCAGCACGAAGATGAAGCTTCCGTTGCAAAATGATAATTTGTTGACACTGAATTATTCCGCATCCAGTAATCCTTCATTCTTTCTCGTACAAATGGGCGGAAAATTGAAAATTTCTGAAGTGTTGTAGTTTGTGAGAAGGCCGAATGAAGCGAGAGATGTATTGTTCGTGTTTATGTGCGCCCCTTGCCTCCTTTGCTGCCTCCATGTCCCTTCATATAAGAGATGTTGTCATTAAAAATGCAAATCCAATTTGCTTCAGGGCCTTTTTCCAACCAAGTAAGATGACAGAAGACCCAAGACCGCATCCCTCCCACCACCGCTACATGCAACCCGATATTTCATGTTTCCCAGCAAAAACACCGTTTACTTATTTCATAATGTTTGTCGGTTTTGTTCACGTTTGCATTTATCTAGACTAGCAGCACTCTTCAGTTGCGGAGAGAGTGCTACAAAGCGATTAGCGAACTTTCGATATATATCTAATAACATGTTGAAGTGACCACTTAGTTGAAGTTTCACGAAGATTGGCCTTGCTGGCTTCATTGTTAGATAATACACAGCTCTATCCATACACTCGTAAAGGAAGCTTTCTAATTTACTAACAATTCTCAAGGGACGAATCCAATGAATAAACTTTCACGTTGAATAAACTTAGACTTCATTCCTAATGTAATCCAGTTCCACACAGCTGAATCAGCTAACATATAAATTTACCATGTCAGAAGATGTGCATTAGTCAACACAATTATATATCTCTTTTTTAATTTGTTTCCCTTCCAGCAAAAAGAAAAAATCTTTTTCGAACTGAGATCTTTAGTGGTAACCACGAATACTAACAGTCCTATTTCTATATCGATCCATGAATATTTGCACCGGCTAAGAGTAAATGTCCTCCATTCCTTCCTAAGGGTATTTGGAAGGTATCACTACCTGAACATTATTAATTTTTTCAAATCAATTGCCTCTCCTTGACTCTCTCGACCATCCTTTTCTACAAGTTTCACCAAATCATTTCCATCTTTCGCATTTATTCATATCCTCCAAGAGTTACACTTTTAATTTCTTTACACAGCATTACCCATAACTTGCTTTTTATTCCTTCAGATAGTTTGAAATATCGTAGCACGGTGAAATTTTCACTCTTGCTAAACAAATCCGACATAACCATAATGTTCAATTGTCATGTCACAAGCATTTCCTGAATATCATTTTCATATAAATATCTCACTTATGCTCCGTTTATCTATTGGAAATACTTAGTTGGACTAGAGGAGCCATAACTTTAGACGGGAATAAACATAGTGCTAACCGATCAGAGAATCCACAGTGGCCAATATGAGTGGGCCCGTCCACTTCTTGGGTCCACACCTAACACTCATCCAGGCATTACTCAGACTGTCATCGGGATTTGTCGTTCGTTGGAAGTTCCTTTGAGAAACCTGCGACATGACTGCAGCTAAATTGCCTGCATCTTACAGGTGAGCCAAGTTGGCAAAACTCAGAGCAGTCCCACCGAGTTTGATTTTCTTAGGTCTGATTGAAATAGCGAATTACTTATCGTGTTGTCCATCGCTTTTCATACTGCAATTTATGTTCGTGCTATTGAATTCTAAAGATTTTTTTCAAAATGCAGTAAAGCGATAGGCTCACAATTTTCCAGATTTCCAGATTTACGTTGCCATTCCGATTTGTTGTTTGTTGACATCTAAGTTGAACTGGTGGAGTGTGGAGTACTACATCATAGTAAGTCTTATTACGTAATCCAGTAATTCATGCCTTTAATGAGGCAGAAGATAAGAGTGGATGGAAAGTTAGCAAAACCAGCAATATGCCAATATGTCATTGTTGGATTAGTGTGTCGAGAATCAAGGCATTTCTGATCGTATTCAATTTTCATTCAAACTTAACAAGTCTTCCTAGCTTTCATTACAGGTAATGCTACAAAAAACATATAGTTGCCTGCAGCGAGTAATTTGTTCTATTTTCATCGTTCCAACCAGTCCAGTGTTGGTCCATTCATGTTATGTCCACCATCACAAAGAACGCCACAATTTGCGACTTTTTCTCGGTATTCAACGCTCAAACAAGCATAAAGCCAACCGGAATACACACATCAATGAACGAAAATTTTCTCGGGTAGTTCTTTTTGAGTAGGATTCAACAATAAGTACAGCGGAGGAGATAGGAAAAAGGCAAATTTTGGTATATTATTTTCATATGATGTTGGGAAACATAATCGGTTGGAAATTAACGAACTGGAATAAGATATCATTAGCATATCTAATAGTACCATCATGCCATCGCTCCATTGTTATGATATGATAGATTGTAGCTTCGCGCTAAGAAGAATTTCAATATCGAATTGCCCGATGACGATATAAAAACAAAGAGACAGAAGATGAGCCCACTGGATTTGCGACTCATTTTGTTGAAAAAAGGAATCAATCCATATAGAGATGTTACACCCCAGACATGGAAAGAATTCCAAGTGACTTTCAACTCTTGTTGTTAGTTTTTTTCAAGGATTTTTATAAGGGAATGCTACTGTACTTCGTCTTTGTGTGATTAAGATGGAATTGATTATAAAAAATTAAAGCCTCTTTTCAAGCCTGATGTTTCTCCAGAATTTTCCCCAAGCTTGAATCATTTCAGATCAAGTAATGGATCCTTTTGTTCCGAGAGAAGAATCTTCACCTAATGATCCCTACACTATTTTTCGTAAAAATCCGTTGAAACTGTTAGGTTTTCCTTTCCTACTACCTCCAGAATTTCACGAAAAGAAAGAATCTTTGGAATACGCTCTATTGAGAGCAGAAGAAGGACGATTCACGGCATATCAACATAAGTTTGCTATTTTTTATTACTAGCCACCAGTAAGAAAGATTGATGAGTTTTAATATTGTTTTACTGCTTATCAGATTCAAATGCTTCCTAACTAACTCGATTTCTTATCAGTTTTTCTAATTTCAGATATTTTAACCGCAAACACGGCATAAAAAGAATACGTAAAAGAAAAGGATTTGAAAACTTCAGTATTAAGGTAAGCCGAATTCAGATGCCTGAATCGTGATTTATTTGTAGCATATCTAATCTCAATGAACAGTGTTTAAGATTGAGCAAATGCTTCTTTGGTTTCGAAATTTATTTTTTAGACTTTTCCGGCTACTGCTGACGAAATCTATGTTGAGGCTCATAAAGCTTTGATGACTCGTGATAAGATTGCATTACAAAAATATATAACAGAAACCGCGTTTGGGGTGAGCTATTTTGTACTTTTCTGATTTCTTTCTATTTGCGTTTCACGTCATTTATCATTACTTATGCCTCTATGTTGCACATTTTATCAGTGTCATATGTTTTGTTTACGACTCTTCTTCTATACTCAGGTAACTACTTCTTTTCCACTTTCGTTGATTGATCTTGTTCTCGTCCATTTCCAGTATCTAACCGTGACAATTTATAATTCTGATCATGTTTATTTTGCTCGCTTTTTTTGTACTCTGTCCTCTCAATATTTCAACTTCCTTTTCACCAGTATATGAGTGGTCCATTTTCATGTAAAAGATCTCAGCAAAAAGATGTATACAATCATGCATAGGTGCACTTTTGTTCTAGAAAATGTGGCCAGACGTGGAAAATGGTTCAGTAGTATGGGAATTAATGAAGCATATAGAACCGTCACGCGTTGTATCTGTTCGTTGTGCTGATTTCCCACACCAATCTGGAAATGATATCGCTCAAATCATCGTTCGGATGCATACAATGCAGGTATTATATTTGCTTATTGTTACTTACTTATATCTTAGTTCACATTGTCATATGCAAAGCATTGTAATTTATTTTTGCTTTTTTTTTAAGAAGGAAGAAGGAATGAATCCTTTCAGTTGAAAACTGTTGAATAGAAATGGTGTTGCAGAAAATTGCGCTTTACGACCGTTTTGGCAGATTGATTCTGGGGACAGAACATGAGGCGAAACCAGTATTGGAATATGTAGTATTCGAGAATCACATTGCTAGCTTTGATGGTGTTTGGAGGCTACATGATAAAGTTTATCCAGAATGGATCAAACCTAAACGGGATGTGCCTAGGTCAGCTTTCGTATTTGTAGGCAATTGGGTAATTATTATAAGTGGGATAGTTGAAATATTTCTTTTTGCATGAAAAAGAAAACAGTAGATATTATTTACAGACAAACTAAGATATCTCAGGAGCATCTACGAATCCAGATCAGACGACCGCTCAAATTAGGTGGTGGTCGAGAACTGTCGATAACTGAAGAGAAGCGATAGGCTTCGTATCTGATTTGTCTTAATATCTCTGGAGACTTGAAGTATCTGGAAGGGACTTCTGCTTGTATTTGTTTTTGTTTTTATTCTCAAACCTGTTGTACAAAAAAAGATGAAGATTAATATGTTTACATCTTTAATGAATGGAATAAAATTCTTAATTTACTTTGTGAAGTTTATTCCTTGTGAGATTCAATGTAATATTCACTTCATTCATTGTTACTACTTCTTAAGCTTATTTTTGTTATGTATATTCCACTTCTTTACTTTTTTGTTAATAGCAGATGAGTTTTCTACCACGGGACACGAAAAGGAGACTGCACGCAGTGTACATTTCCAGCACTAAAGTGACCTAGCACTTCATTTATTCCTTTTTTATTCCCGCAAGCTTTGCCAATAAAATTTTATAAATGGAGCGTGGTCTCTGTGTAATGTATTGTGGGGATTCAAGTTTAGATATTCAGCACGTTTATTCCCAACTGTGCGACATGATTTACTCGAAGTTTCATCTTTGAAATTGTTTTATAGAACCGGAACTGAATTGTAAAATTACAACTGCGAAGGATTTCACAATGACAGAAGGTAAAAACAAAAGTAAGCCGGAAGGTAATCAGCAGAAAGTGGAAACACATATTGAAGAGGATGACGAATTTGAAGAATTTCCTCAACAAGATTGGCAAGCTAAGGAGGGCGCTGAAGATGAAGAGGTTCAGGCTAGTTGCATGTTTTAGATGTTTGCCAATAACCAATAATCTATTCATGTTTGACGGTTGTCCGTCAACGTCCTGGAGGAAATGTTTCTCTTACAGTATGAAGTACGGAAACATGTTTATCGGTTATGATATAGAATTCCTGTGTAGAAATTTTATGTATTAGAAAAAATTTTTGGGAATTTCTATCGCATTTCCTATATTTTTCGCTTTGGGTGAAATTCAAATGATTTTCCTGTAAATCATACTTAGTTATAGGAATTAAATGTATGGGAAGACAACTGGGATGATGAAGCGAATGAGAATGATTTCGCCAAACAGCTGAGGTTTATTTTTTGTAACATTCTGGTTTTTTCAACATTTCATCGGTTTATGAAGGCACTATAGGTATAAGTGTGATGTAGATAATTTCTTCCTGTCTTTTGGGATTCTTCATTTGTTTTGTTTCAGAGATGAACTTGCTAAACACGGTCACGGCACTGCAACATGACTGACTGATGCTGTAATATCAATATCTCATTATTTTTCGAATTTGATTACATGAATCTTAAAGCATAAATCGTTTTCTAAGTCACAAAATAGATGCAGGATAATTTCTACTAAAAATGCAACTAAGAAACTTCATTGGCCGCAATATATTCAGTATAGTCTTATGATTGAAGCGATTTAAAATAAACTTACTTTTTTCTCTCCACGTTTTACTCAATGTTATCTTCACGAGTATGTTGTATTTCATAACCGTCATAAGTTAATTCAGGATCAACTTCGAAGGTGTGAGGGGTGGGCTCAGGTTCTCCGAATTTAATTCCACTTTCTATTAAAGCACCAAAAAATGCAGATGCCTGTAAACCTTAATAATGAAAGAATAGTGCGAAATATTTTATCACTGCGTTAAAAAGAACTTAAGCGATCTTTCATACAGCAACTTACGTGTGCACTCCTTTCGATATGTTTCATATCAATACCTTGTAAGAAATGTATTCCAGCCATGGCACACCGTAAGCCGAGTACGCGGCCGATGTTTGCACAGGCAGAAATATCAGAAGGACTGAAATAATTCTAAGTCATATGTAAATTTTCCAAAAGACCAATTATTAAAACAAATAAAGATGGAGCGTTGTTCAATGAAAGGTCGGACTGCGTTGTAGAATACGCCCGCTACCATTTTCAGGCCTCAGATGACCTGGTCAGAATTGTTGAGAACAAAAGCCTCTAGGAAAAGCCAGTTTTTGGTGAGTTAGGCTTCATATTTATAAATTAATAGACCTGCTAAGTTGTGCTAATATTTGTTTTTCGCGTGAAGATGCTGTTAATACAGTGCCTTCCTTGTAATGTTCGATGTGACCTTCAACGTACTGTCGATGTCGCTCAAAATTCGCCCTGGAAACTTTTAGAATTCAGGAAATTGCTCATTCCCAATGCTTATTAGATTAAAAACTTGTCATTTTCTACATTTTCTGTTCATAGCGTATTTGAGAAAATACAATCAAAAGCATAAAATTCACCGATATATAAATGAATGCTTGCGTCGATCAACATCCAATCCATAGCCTGCCGGATAAGTTTGAAGGCCCAATTGCTCAATGTTTCGTGGGTTCCGATTAATGAATCTTGCCAACAATCGTAAACGTGTCATTCTGAAAGGTTTCAAGACAAAAATAAATGGAATTTCTACCAGAAGCATACTACTCCATCAAATTTCAAATATACGGATTAAAAGAAAGTCTTGAAACCTTTCAACCTATTTATTCCGGAGTATCCTAAAGAAACATTTGAATAAGGAGTATGTCGAATTCCACAAAGTCATATCTTTACAGCGTTGAAATTAAAAGCGAAGGGAAACCTTGGAACTTCCTTTTCCAGGAAGTTCCAAGGTTTCCTTCGCTTTATTCATTTCGCTTTGCTTCGCAAACTTCAAACGACTGGTTACAAGAAGTGATAATTACTACACATATAATCGTAGTTTCTAAAATAACGTCATATATAAGCAACCGGTAGTTCATGTAGCCGTAGTTATCCACAAAAACAGTTCCAACTAATGCATCTGTTTATCATAATCGAAAAGTTGAATAACTTGAACAATTATTATAGAAACAAATGACCCATCATTAAGAAGGAACGAAAACAAAGCAACCATATCATAAAAATACCGTATTTAAAGGATCCGTATTTTGAGCATAGACTAGAAATCTAATGAAATATGAAAAAGCATGCTTTACATAAACTGAAATCGAAACCAATATTACAATGAAATCTCCCATCCTACCAGCATTTTTGGCAAACAGGACGCAATATTTTCTCAGCACTTAGGTACGACAGATTAGAACGGTTCAATAGTTCCCAAACAATGTGCTCCATAGCACTGAACAGATCTCAAAGACCACTAAAATATAAAAAATGCAATCAAATTATAGGCAAAACTTCCTCCTTCATACTTAAAGTATAAAAGGTTTAGAACCTTTTATACTTTAAACCTGAAACCTGAAAAACAATACCAAAACCGGAAGGAAAACGCTACCTTGAAGCAAGAAATTTATTAAAGATATCTCACTTAGAGAACTTAAATGAAAATGTAAGCTGAACCGATCTCAAATAAATTACAGCTGTCTATGATTGTCATGCATATTCTTATTCTTACGTTATCCCTCGAATCAAACAAATTACAAAGAACTGATATTTTTTGTGAACAAACGTCCCAATATTACCACCTTATGTGCAATATGATTATTCCTCTTTTTTTGGCACCAAAATTTTAATATTACGAAATTCAGCATTGAGACCATAAAGTTCTCTCAACTACAGGAAAGATAACGAAGCAATAAAGAACGCCAAAAAATTAGCATGCTTTCAAATAGAAACGAAAAATACTAATTCGTGCGGCTATTGAAAGTAAAAGAATACAAAAATTAATTTAAAGAAATATTGATGATAATAAGAGGGCAACAAGAAAGTAACATAACAATGGAACTACAAATTGATCTATACATTTGTACATTAACAGTTCTAGCGATATTCACATGTTCTCTTGAAACTAATTCCTCACTGCTCATATATTATAATATTAATTGTTAATAATTAAAAATTTCAGATACTGGATGTTTTAAAACTTTTGAAACATTTTCGGTTCTTTGTTACTGCGGTAGAACCGTTAACTTGTCGCACTTCAGCAATTGCAGCATTCTTCTAGCAGGTAGAAACGAATAATCCAAATGGGAATAAAAAAGAAGCTAGCCGCAATGATCTCTAAAAGTCAGAAAGTACCAATCACTTTGAAACATTTTCGTTCTCTGTTACCGTGGTAGAACTTTCAAACATGGGCCCACTTTTTGCAATTCTAATTGCATCTATAAGATTCGCTTGCTGTATACCGCTACATTCATAACTTGAAATAGGGTACTGCGTAATTGAAACCGGATAAGTACCTTGTACAGCTGCTACATTCGGAACTGTAATAATGAAATTATTAAAATCATATGGAATACCTTCAGTGTGATAATTCAATAGCTGGTCAGACAAGTTCTACATCGTTTCCCAAATAGAAATGATCCCCTGAGAAATTGATATGCGATTATTTGGTTTTCATTTATCAATATGTATTTCTACTTCGATATATATCATCTAACCACTGCTATCTCCCTCCACTTCAATTTTGAAACAAATAATGAGAAAAAAAAAAAAAAAACCGATCTGCGAAAAAATAAAAAATACCACAGTCGCTTTGCAAAACTGGTAGAAAATAAGGCTGCGGTGAACAAACAGTGCTGACTTGAGATGAAACCAGGAACTGCAAAGAAATGTATTGTCACGAATGCATTAAATTACTTAAAAGAGAATGACGACAATGGGATTTTCATCATCAATTTAATTATACAACACGATTTAAATTATATTACAGTACCAATGGCAGCGAAAAAACAGCACTATCGAAAAGCATCATAATGACTGAGTGGAATGCCACATGACCTTGATGGTTTCATCTATTATAAGTAAAAAATGTTTTTGAACAAAATGATCACTTATAAAACTTAATAAAGAATGAAAAGAAACACCTGCTGTGGATATATACTATGTGCTGGTAGAGGTGACACTAAGTAAGACTGCGGAGAAGCTGGAACTACTTCTGGATGACCTGCTGTGTTCAAGGATTCTATCTGATGCGTTAATTTTTGCTAAAAGCAAAACGTCAGGATAAGATGGTTTAATATTAAAATGAGAATTGAAGAAAATCACAAATTATCACACATTTCTATAACTAATTTTTTTCCTTCTTTACGAGAGCTAACATCTAAGTGATTCTGAAATAAATTACTACAGTTAGGAAACTTACGAGTGATAAAGTCGGTGCAGCATAACGAAGATATGGTGGAACAACAGCATACGTTGATTGTTCTGTAAAGTTGTAGTCAGAAAAAAAATTAACTGAACAATGACAACCAGAATTCACAAAAAAAGCCAATCGGTGAAGTCTATACTCAGGTAGCACTAACATGAGCTTTATAAAGAGACTCGCCGTAGGAACCATAAAGCAATTCCATTTAATCCCCTACATACTAAGATGTCGGTGATTTTTATCCTATTTTTACCGTAGGTCAGTTTCTTGAAATTAGCAAAAATATAAGTATTTAAATTAAAATTAATGTAAGTATTTAAAATCTTCTATTCCCAGATAGGGCTAAGGGTAAGCCAAGTTGTGTGGATAAAAAGCTTCAATGAATATTACTTTATAACAATCATAATCACACCTGGCATCGGATTGACGACATATTGATTTGAAGTGAAATCAGCAGGTACAGGAGAAACTGCATATACAGGCAGTGTTTGATGCTGCGAAGTAGCGATTTCCACTCCATATTCATCGGCAAAATATACATTCTCTGGAAAGAGATTTTCCGATAATGAAGCTTCTCTCGAATGAATTGCTTCCCACTGGTGGCAATCTGTGAAAGCCATAAACAGTTATCCATAGATTTCCAGTTACTGCAATAATCATCAACAAAAAAAATTTCAGTAAGTTAAACTGTTGCTGCTGAAAAATCTAGTAATTCATTCTAACAATCATCTAAGAATCATACCTGTACTAGTATGCCTGTTTACAGATGTTCGCTGCTCCGGAAAAGACAAATGAGTGCTGAGATTTCTATGCGGTGGTGCACTTGTATCGATGTTTACTTCCCTCTGTAAATAATCAAAAAAACACTGCAAACAGTCAAAGCAGAAGTAAAGAGTAAAAAATGTATCAAAACTGCCAGCCACATCGACCAATTAACTTAGTATGTGATGTTATGTACTTCTAAAGAAAGAGCCTTCAGAAATGAATCGGTAGCAAACCCTTCCGTCCAAGTTATCCTATTCACTTAACTATCTATTGTAGGTTGAAAGAATATCAATGCCTTCATCTGTCTCATACACTTGAGGATAATCGGTCTATGGCCAAAAATGTCCCACTACTATTAACTTAAAACTGAGTTTTCAAAAAAAAAAAAAAAAAAAAACTAATTCCTAAATAACAATCCATTAAAATGTTGTTAATCTGCAATGCAGAATGAACGCCGAATTTTCCATCAGTTGTAATGTAAATTAATCTTCGTATCATGAGAAAAGATGTTCCAGATCTACATACCATTAGTATTGGAGGTCGAGAGTGATTATGCATCATAGGAGAGATTAAACTCGAAGGATAATCAGCTGACAGGCTTGTATAGCTTTCTGAGCTGCTGCTCCATGGGAACATATGTGTGGTATTGTTAAATGATGGGCTGCTTTCAGATGCTGAATAGAGACCCATGACCGGTATGTCACCGTAGGAATAACAGCTTCCAGGTGATTCAAAGAGCTAAAAAAACTGAGTCGAAATACAAAAAAGAAGTCATCACACAATCAACAAACATTTAGATTGCTATTTCTAAAATATTTCCTTACTTAAAATAAAGAATGCCTTAAGAAACTAGACTACGCTGATTAATACCACTGGAGTTATTCTCCCAAAAAAAAAAAAAAAATTTATCACAAGAACAAACATGAGTACTGCTGGCATCAGTAGATGTTGATCCTTGCTGATGCAATAAATGCATGTGAAGAGATGCGGTAGCTGGAAGAGCATAGCCAACAGTAACACTTGTTGAGTCAGTTGGTAGGTAATCACCCACTTCGAAGGAACGTGCTCGACGCCCAAAAATTAAGCCTGCACCCAAAGACTGTCCAACCTGAATTGCAAGTTCGATGAGAGAATAGAGCTAACTTGAGTGAAGGATATAAAGATCTCCTTATTTTATCGTTTTTAGTTTTATGATCATAAAGAATTGCAGAACAGGACAAGTTGCGGTTTTAGAATAATTTTCAGACAAAGTACTTCATAACTATGAAAAAAGTCATAGCACTCAACAACAAGTTGAAACCAGAATATCTTGCCAAAAATGAGTGATTTTTCATTGGAACGATATGAAAGGGATAACAAACTTCTTCATAGCTTTGGACATCCCTTCTAAGAAGTCGACGAGGTTCATCAGTGTACACATCACCTTGTATCAGTGACGAAAAATCGATATCAGGCCTGAAACACTTTTTAAAAAGCAATCAAATGATAAAGTTACTAGAATTACAAAAGCGGAGCATTTAATTAAAATTTATCCTTATAAATGAATGAGCCAATAACCAGAAATAAAATTTACAGTCTAGTATGAGATGTTTTATTCACGACAACCGCAGTACCATTCTGATCAACATTGTGATCTAAACCGAAAAAAGCAGCTACTCGATGTACCAGCATACGATTGTATGAACTCATAGCTGGGAATTTTTGAGAATTACGTCTGGAATGAACATTTCAATTTTACTAAACCGAAATAAAATGTCAGAAAACAAATATTTTTGTTTTTTAATCTTACTTCCAGAATGAGTGTTGCTTTTATCTTACTTCCAGAACAAGTGCAAAGGCAAGCTGTACACAACCATCTATCAGCCAATCATCACGGAGATACCCTTCGCAATTAATGTAACTAATATTTTCCACAGAAATACTTCACTAGTCATTTCTCAAATTGGAATGTAGATCAAACATAATTTTGTAAGAAGTAATTTACGCTCACTCACGTCGGATCTTTAATAAGCTTTGTCATATGCTGTTCAAGTTGTAACAACATATGCCGATCCTTCGAATTCTTGTGCAGTGTACATGTAATAAATGAAAGCAAATTAATGCCAGTCGAATCCGTGTAATCGTGACCGTGGCCAGAATCTAAAACTTAATTCACAAAAAAAAATACAAGTTCAAAAATATTCATTAAAACAATATAAAACGAACCAAATGAAGCCGAAGAAAAAGTGGAACGTGAAGCAAGAAAGCGTGATGTTGGAGTATGTCTAGCAGAAACACCAGAATCATCATCACCCGAAAATGCCTGGCTACGAACAAGTACTTTGGGTTTTGTTGATACAGTCACATTCAGACTGATACGATGAGGTGACTGAAATTTATTGGAAAATTTATCATTTTTTCCTGTAGTAATAATTGTTAAACATGAACAGACTTCTGCAGAGAGATACAAAGCTTCCAACACTTTCTTCAATTGGTTAAAGGCGTAATTTTTCATTTTTTTGAAGAGATCGTTTCCCCTTCGAGCTATGAATAGCAAAGTGAAGCATGTAGAGAAATAATTAATTAAACAGGAGAATTATAAGACAAATGGAAAAGAAAAATTTTATCCACACCCTAATCAAAAACCTATAATAAGTGTATTCGATGAACAAACACCTGACAGAAGAGCAATTTCTGAGCTATGAGGCTCACTGAAAATTCAGGCACACAGGAAAAAAATATGGCCATAAAAACAACTTCTTTCTGTGGACTAAGAATAAGAGATAGCTATGACCATCAAAACTGTCTCCTGCATGTTGCTGTTATCCATTTGCTGAACACACAGAGCTGTGGCCTTCTTAACTTCATTATTTGATTTCAACTTTTCACTACATTTTTCAACGTCCTGAAAACTTATATTATCATGTCTGAAGACACTGTGCCGTTATATTGCAATATAGAGTTCAAAAGTGAAATAATATAGAAAACGTTAAAACTTTCATGGGATTACCTCCTCGTCTACTCCACTTTGTTTAGCAAGTTTAGCCGATTTATTTGATTGGATAACATTACGTTCATCACGTAAGTTGCTTGCCGAGCAACCATTCTCACCAGTTGTCTTCTTTTCCGATGACATCACGCATCCTTAACAGTGTTTAAAGCGACTATATTGACAGTTTGAATGTTTTTAGTTCCCTTTTTGTTTTACAAAAAATTAGTCACAGAAATGCAGAATAACAGATTCCCGAGTAATAAAAAAAAAAAAAAATGCATAAACATAAATGGAAACAAAACTGAATAAAGGTTGGATTGGAATTCATGATCAGAAACATGAAAAGGTTAAATATTGAATTGTGAAACAAACTGCTGTATTTCTAACACCATCCTTTATCAAAAGATGAAAGCCGTGTTTAATTAAATAACAAAGGTGATATAAAGGAACAGTACGAAAAGGACAACTGCGAACATAAGTAAACAAGTGAACATCATTAAATATAGCAAATCCACTTAAGCGCTGTCTTTTTACTGTTGGTTAGTCTTACCACTTAGCTTTCATAAATTAATTACTTAAGATCACTAGATATTTTAAAAAAATAACTATAAATATGGCGATCGTATCCGTATTAGGTAGGTATCATGGACCAATACATTACTTTCTAATGACATAATGGTTACGATATGAACACAAACTGAATGCATGTAACTACGTTTAGCAAAGAAAAAAGATAGTAAAGACAATGAAACTTGTGAACGGAACCAAAAACATAATGGCTTCAGGACACAAGTAATTAAACATAATATCGACTGGTAATGTTCAGAACTTTCAATAATTCTATAAATGAAGCATCTTGTACAATTAATTATAATTCTGATTTCGAAGCATCTGCGAAAGGCAGACTTCATATTCTCAACTTTTAAATTATAAGCATTCTATTGCCTGTTACGTACTAAGTTCAGAACTTTGTAACTATTTGCTATTACACCGATATATTAATCAAGTAACTTAACACCTGGAAGAACTAAAAATTACCTCACTGGCGACAGTACTAAAAAAAGACGAGGTTTTGAGACTTGCGCTCTGGCTTTCCTAAAACTGATCGAATTTTGCATTTATTCAGCGCTACATTTATAGCCAAGTTACTTTTTAGAACACACTTTTGGAGAATAATACTTCTATAAAAACAGTTCCTCCATAATATGTCTAGTTTGACAACCCATGAGAATATTCTTTGTTGTTAATGATGCTTTAGAAATTATCTTATATAAGAAGAAACGACACAGAAAAATGAACAACGGAAAAGCGAAAAAGGATATTTGCCAGAAATGGATTTTTTCTTTTATTAGTGTGTATATGTTTTGAAGGTAAGTGGTATGTAAGAAAGACATAACGACTGGAGAATACAGCAGTAGCCAAACATTTCTGGTTACATAGTCATTTCCTATCAGAAACTCAGTGCCATCTCAACTAGCCAAACAAATAATTTAGCACGCCTACTTTAGCAGCTAAATTATTCATCGTTGTTAGTAGTACTTAAAGATTATTTTACATATATAGCTCAGACTGAAGTAGTGCTAGAACTGTTAAATGTCGAGAACACATGTCATGCTGACTGCCTTTGCTAACATCTTACAGTTCGAAAATGCTAAATTCAATTACACCCTACACTCTAAACTTCAAAATCACAACTACACCAATAGACTTACTACGTACATCGCCCAAAATACTCTTAATTCATGAAAACTTTAAAATGCTGAAGGTGACATAAGGACCTTCCAATCATACAGCTGGATATTGTGATGGCTCGAACTCCTTCACTGACATCACGTCACTCCCAAATAACAACGCTGCAACTTCCCTCACCCTCCCATCAACAAAACAAGTTCTCACGGAAGAACACAACGAACAAAACGACTTCTCTATTCCGTGCAATAGCAATTATGTCAAACAAACTCGTCATTGACCGCTTTATGCAAATATTCATCTCTTACTATTTGGAAATCCAGTATTTGGAGGCATTACACGGCACGACTTGACAGGCGGCATGTGTATGATACATATCACATTTTTAACCAAACAATAGTTACGCTTTAAAATTGATGGATTAACAAAATAAATAAAAACAGAAACTAATTAAGGAGCAGAGTTTTCAGTAAAGAACAGAAGCATGATGAATGTATAGCACGGTTGCAACTATACTAATCAGCAATTTAAAGGACTGCTTACATCAGGCTGTTACCTAGCAGTAAAAGTCAGGAAAAAGTGGGTGAGTTAGGGGCATGAAAAGACATAGTTGAAACGCTCCGGCACTACGACCGAAAACAATAGTAAGACAGAAAACTATTATATTCTATTCTTTCTTTCAAAAGTTTCATTATCCTTTTAAAATCCTACAGATCTTACAACGCTAAATTCCTAAAAGAAAAGATAAAACTTCATTCGCATAGTTGTTAAGTTTCATGCATTAATCGCCCACAATCAACTTGTTATTATCAGTGATTTGGTATGGCGGCACTTCAAGATTAGTTGGTGCGGGTCCCAAGCGTATACGACCAGATGTATCAAATGTGGAGCCATGACAAGGGCAATAATAACCGCCAAAATCTCCTTTTCCTGCTGCAAATTAAAAACGATGAGTTATATTCAGTGACAACTCACCTTTCGTGCTATTTACATATATTACTTGTCCTTACTTTAATTACAAACGACTCAGACTGAGCTAAATGTCACACTTACTAAGATAAACACCAATCTATCTACTGCAAATTCAGTCTGTTCCTACCTTATAAGACAAGACAATTATGCTATATTACAACTATATTTAATCTATCTCTGATAGCTGAATTCACTAAAATCTTTTTTTTTTTTTTAATTAAAATTAGTTGCAATATTGCTCAAACCTAGCGGAACACATCCAAGATGAGGGCAAACACCTATAGTTACAAGCCACTCATCTTTCTTTACTCGCTCATCATCAGTCTGTGGATCACGCAATTCGTTTAAGTTGACACTCTTCGCTTTTCCGATATCATCTTGGGTACGATGGGCTACAAACAGCGGTTTTCCGCGCCAAGTATACGTTTTGCACTAAAAGATTTTGAAAAAGAATCCTGATAAGGACAAATATTTTAAAAAATTTACAAAAAAAGAATACTGTTGAATGCAGTAATTATCAGAATAAACCATTACCAGAAAAATTAACTTTCAAGATTTGCAAATGAGAACACAAATACAATAATGGTTATCATATTAATTCACATTTCAAAACTGAATGAACTATAAACTCGTTACAAAATACAGTTTTCGAATCCGCTGTGATGGGTGCTATATAAAATAGATTTATTATGTAAAAGTTCATTCATGAAGTGCTGAGAACTTACCTGTCCCTCAGGAATTTCGTCCAAATCAATTTCTGTATTTGCCATAGCTAATTGGTCGGCTGGCATACTTTTGTAAGTGACAAGCGACTGTACAAACTTCGTAGCCATGTAGAGGTAAACTGCTCCGTTTACTGTAAATTATCACGAAATACCAGCATAAAAATTTTATAAAGAAAAGAGATTTATGAAGCAGTGGAAAATTTTAATAAGCTGGAAATGGTCTGACCTCCGAACAACAATCCTTGGGCCGTCACGCGGCGAAAATCCTCAGTATCTCTGGCTGCTTTTGTTGAGTCACTAGCTGCCTTCGATCGTTCATCGTCATATTTCGGGAATCTTATATCGGTATGAATTAAACGACGTGATGTTGCTTCAAAAAACCGATTAAATATGTTGCTAGTAATCAAAACCTACGTCATTAATCAGAAATTCACAAAATTCCACACCATTTTATGTCGAAAAAATACGACCATACTTGCAAACAATCTTGGACTATAACCTGAATATTCCGTACAATTCTAGTTGAATGGCACTTTATAATATCGGAAAAAAACCATAGCTGAGGACTCTTTCTTCATGTTCAAATAAAATATAAGGAAAACTAATCAAGACTCCTCACTAACCTACAATTCGTTTAATAGACATCGCAGACAACATGCTGAGACCCAAAGATGGTGCATCTAACCACAAATTTCGGTTAGAGGACATTACCAGTGGGACAGTGTCTTTCTTATCCTTTGCGGGGACCGGTATTTGCAAATGTCCAGTTGGCTGACTTCCACACACCTGAGGAAAAACCAAATACAAGAAAATATGTCTTTTTTATACAAACTATTTTAATATGTTTCTTCCGTCAAATATTCATCGAACTGTTGTTGAAAACACTGAAAAATGTTCCTCTAAAAAACGCAGACTATACTATCAGTCCCATCGCTGACAGCGAAAAACCAGTGTGCAGTGTATTACTCAAACATTACCCTTTTTAAAGCAGCTTGATGAGTCCTCACTAAAGTTGCCATAATTCTTTTGGAGCACCTGGAAATGTAATTCAGACGATTATTACACAAATATTACTGACAAAAGTTTTAAACAACGTATTCGACAAATAAGGACTGTCGCAAACAAATACAACCAAAGAAATTCTTCATAAACATTACACGGTTTTTGATAGAAAGTGAAGAATACGACACAGAACTTAACATTTCACTTGATAAAGTCATAAAGTTTATTCGCATTACAGCAACAAACAAGAAAAAAAATGTGGCATAGTACAGAGTGATAATAACAAAAAGCAATACTACTGGACACTAAAATACTAGAACTCAAAAATTAACATTACTACTTTATAATCGCCAAGCACTCATGCCTATTCTCAGTTGATAGTAATCTGGCCAAGCTTCGGTGCGTCCTGTAAAAAAAGTAGGTTTAAAACCTTCGGAATGCAAAATTTACAGTAAGTAAATTTGGCAAATTTGATCCCTAGTGTTGTTGACTCGCAAAGAAAAAAAAGTACTGCATACCAATTCCTGCAACTGCAAGGTCTCGATCATAGACGTGTTTGTTTATAGCTTCACTTATTGCCTTCTTATCTACACTTTCAATAGCATTTTCAAGATCGGACAATGATTGTACCGTATCAGAATAAAGGACCTATGTAGAATATACTGTTACGTAAAGACTCAAATTTATTGACAGTTAAATATATGAAAAAGGAAAAAAACGGTTACAAATAATGGTAACAATCAAATAAAACTTAAC